ATAGTTTTCTATCTGTCTTTGCTAAAATTCGTCAAATTTTTATTGATGCTCTATAAATAGTTCCATTATTAACTAACGCTACAGATGTCTGACATTATGTTCCACCGAATTTAGTAAATTGACCACTAAAAAAAAGCTTGTCCATTTAATTGGCATATAAAACGTGCTACTCAACAATCGGTCTTGTACAATAAAGCCTACATAAGCGGGAAGCTGAGGCAATCGAAGCCCTAATTTCTGATAGTATACAAATATAAACTAGAATTGTTTGAATTTTGAATTTATTTTTTATTTTTAAATATTTATATTATATGTCAATGCTCTATAGATACCAATAATTTTATAATTCCATATTCCAAAAAATTTCACAATCCATCCATTGTATTAAACTGTAAGTATGTAGGCAGGCTATACTGTACGTTGTTTTTATATTTTTAACTCAGGAACGTGTTTTTAATTCGAAAAAACTTTCCAAGCTTTGATTTGTCTTATTTTTGTAGAAGGGCAAAGCTGGTAGTTCCATTGGACTTTGACTATATAGTCTATATAAACAGTTAATTATTTTTTAAGTCTTGGATTTGATTGTTTTTCTATTAGCCCAAGCCTTGGCTCTGGTTGCGATCTTGATTCAGCCGGAGCTTTTGCAAGCTCCAGATGCTGCTTAGTTAATTGATACGCATCTAGTTGAGCTTTGGATACTAGATATTATACATATTTTTGTTAGCTATGCGAATGATGGCATTTTTTTAAAATAAATTTATTTTGAAGATTTCTTTGACCGTGCGTAGCCTGCCCGCCTTAACAATGCAAATGAGCCGAGCTTTTTCAGCGAGATCGAAAACCTGTTTTTTTTTTAATCTCGCGAATTATATTTAAAACAAACATGTGGAAGTGAAGTCCCCGATCGAGCTAAGTACGAATCTGGCTCATATTTACACAGACAATTGCCCAGCAAGGCCTAGGGTACAGTACGGCTCGAGAACCTATTCGAAAAATGATCGTGTCACTAACATTAGCACTCGCTCAATAGCAACTGTCCAGCCCGTAATTAAACTGTCAATCTAGAGGCAGACGTTGGTATCATGTCATTTGAATCATACTGAAATTACAGGTATACAATTGCGCCCTCTGAGATATGGTTGAGAGAATTGGTAAACACTTATTATATTGTGAAATTTTCGTTTTTGCTTCTTCTTTTTTTTTTTCAATACGCCACGCAAATTTTTCGAGAATAACAAATAAAAATGCTTGTTTTTTTTTTGTTTATTTATAACTTGTTACATACCCTTGAACTGTTTGAGTAGGGTATATTGGGGTGCTAATTGTTTCTATGCACAAGATCAACTAAAATCGATTCTTAATAAAAGTCCGCTTTAAGCGTGTATTATGTATACCCATATGTACTATATGAGTACAATAATCCGAAGTCTAAGGGCTTAGCTAATTATTGTTATCAGAAAAAAGGTTCGTTGTCTTTTTAACAGGGTATTTACTCGTTAACACATATAGTAGAAAGTTCGTTGATGCTTTTTGGGGAGGGCCGCTAAGGGCGTTTCATAGAGCAAAATATACGCGATGACCACATGCCGGTAATTTATACAATTGCCATTTCGTTCAGTACACAGAAGGAGGCTCTGTTTACTATTTGCAAAGCTATAAACACACACACAAATAAACATACACTCGGACATACATATATATATATATAAGAACATACATATGTACATGTGTTTGCATATAAATTTTAACATTAATATAGCGATCAGCGATGCACTGGGCGGACATTAAGTGATTTTTGCACTACACAAGCACATACACACACACACACACACACCTATACAGAGAGAGAAAGAGACGCATTTGTCGACTCGCGCTTAGTTTGTTGATTAATCGCAAGAGGGCGGGGGAGAGTTAACCAGCGAACTTAACTTAAACGGCGCAATTTCGTTAGCAACTTAAAATTAATTTATTTTTATTATTTTTAGCCAAACAATACATACATATAATGTATTTCTTTATTACAAAAAATTGTCTCAAATGTAGAGCTTTTGATATAGTTGTTATAGTTGGCTTTTACGTCAGATTCAAAATAAGCATTCCACAGGTGCTATACAAGTTTTAAGAGAGCAGCGGCGTGATGGCGTTTATACTACGATTCGTAATATACTGAGCGGCCATTGTGACGAGCGCCGCAGCGAATGCCGCTAATCGACTCGGTCAGCTGGTCGACGGCGCCGAACGGGCCCCTCGGCCCGCGTCAAAGAGCACGATGAAGCGAGACACGATGTTGATGCACGATAAATACAGAAGCGAAATCAACAATAACAACAAGTGCGCAGAGCACTCATTCCTGTGCGCTCTCCATCTCCCTCTCTCTCAGTCTCTCTCTCTTTGCTGATATTCATACGGCAAGAGCAACAGAGTTCAGGAGGCAAAGCAAGAGAAGGAGGGCTCGCACGTGTGCGTGCATGTGTGGGTGACTGATATCAGTAAGTTAGCTGTTTGCCATCGTTTTTAGAGATAACAATTTGAGTCTAGCTGATAATTGTTTATTAGCAGAGTATTCGTCAGTCGTTATTCAATTTTATTTTGATCAAGCTGCTTATAGATTTCCCATAAAAGATATCATTTAAAAAAAATTTATAATCTAAGTTATATGAGTAATATTTTCAACATTAAAAAGTGGCTGTTATTTATAGATAATTTTGATTGGCAATTTTATGTTGAAGGGCTCCACTTACCTTAGCAGTGTTCATTTGACGAAAAAACATTTATTTCCTTGTTACATATTTTTAGTTATCATTTTATTTATATTTATTCCCATTTGACTTAACATACATAAATATATATATATTTTCATATAATTAGATTTACGTCTTTAAAGTTGCTCTGCCTGCTTCCCATTTTTTCGTCTACACAAATTTCTTATAAAAGGTGTTACAAGGTGATACCAAAAATAATTTATATTAGATTAAAGCTAAAGAATGCACGCAAATAAATTTCGTCTAATAAAATTAACTAGAATTCCAGATAGGAGCTAAAATTTTCTTTATAAAGTTTTTAATTTTCTTTGTTAAATTAAGCATGATTGATCCAATAGATGAACTGAATTCATATGTGGACGGATATGCGCAAGTATACAAGTAGATGTAGGGTATGGATGAATCTAAAATGAAAAAAAAAAAAAAAAAAAAAAAAAAAAAAAAAAAAAAAAAAAAAACAAACAAACAAAAACTAAGCTGATAGATAACAAATTAAAGATATAGTATTTACAGAGAACTTAGTAAATAACTCACTTCCAAGCGATAGGAAGTTCCTCAAATGCCACTCGCTAAAGTATTTTGTAGATGATTTTTGTAAAACTTTCTAAATCTTGACGTTCTTCTTTAGTTTTTTAGTGTATGTTTTGTAATCGGTATACTGTTTAGTTTACTTGTAGGTTTATACATTTCTCGAAAACAGTAAAATCGCTCCAAAATCTTGTTTGTCTAGTTAGCTACTCTAGAGTTTGTTGCAGTTTTTGTATCGTATTTCGTTAATATTCATAATCATGTTTCTTTTTATTATTCTTTACGGATCTATATGCACTCAAATGTTTATAAATATGACTAACTGAGCCGACTGTTCAGTTCAGTTAATCGAATATGCAAGCAAAAATAATATATGAAGATCTAAATACGCCTCGAGCAAACGAGTCCCAAATCTGAATTAGCATATCAAAGAAAAAAAAAAAAAACATATGAAGGTTGAGCAACAAGAAAATAAAAAAATTAGTGAGAATAGTGCAGTTGGGTGCAACCGACTGCCCAATACTCGTTCAAAAATAAATTTGTTATCGATTTTCAGACGACCTGAAAAACTAAATATTGTGATTCACAAAGATTTCTGGTAATTTCAGATTAGCCATGCCTCCCGCCTTGGATTGTAAACGTTTTTTTCAGAATTGTATGCTTCCGTTTAAGATGACAAAGTCTTTCTCCATTTGTCAAGCTCGCAATGTACATATCAATATCAAATAGAAATATGGTAATGTCCTGTATATAAAATTTAAATTTCAAATCTCAACACTATTATACTCCTTTTGCTTAATGAACGAGTAACAAATATTGACTTCATAAGTTTCAGATTTGAGTCAAACGTAGCTGTCTTTAAGCTGATAAACTTTATACAGACATATATATAAATATATAAATATATACATATATATATATATATATATATAAATCGAGCGCCAAGTGCTCGGCGGTTATCAGTGCTACTTTATTTTGAATAAAAGCTCTTGAAGCAAAAGAATTCAAACTGAATTGTAATATAAATAACATATGTATATTCAACACGTTCTAGGCTGTCGAGTGCGATAGTGTCCCAGCTGCTTGGGTTGTACTTTCGCAAGGCCTTTGATTGATAGAGCCAAATAAACGAGTTCGTCTCGCCATCTGAAGCGAAGTACGGTGAATGCTCTACTAAGTGGCTAGCCGAATTGATAATTTCAAAACTTCATTTAATACGAAAATGGGTCTAAATTTTCCTAAACATGTATGTATGTATGTATGCATTATTATGATAAAAGCGAAAAATTTAATGAAAATATTTGTTCTTTTAAGCGAGCCTCTACCGTATAAAATGTCTAGAAAATCAAAAACTTGAATTTGTTTGTGCACAAATAAAAAGTGTCAACTTGAGTTTTTCATTAGATAGTTAGTTCCTGTATGTCTGTATGTATGTATGTATGTACATATATCCGTGGATTATGTCTATATGGAGCTTACGAAGGGGAAGAGTTCTGTGATGTATGTATATACTTAGATCAATGCGCACATATACATATAACTACATATACACACACGCACACACATACAGCATACCGTTAAAGGAGTCTTACGTACATATACATATACATATATATATATAGTATAATAATATATAATATAATATAATATGCTATACACATTTTATCATAATTTCGTTTATATATGGATTGTATTTTTTTTTACTATTTAAAGTTTTTCTTTTTAGATTTTGCTGAAAAAATATGTTGATCTGTGTTTTGTCTTCTTCTTTGTCTTATATGCTATGTTCCTTTGTTTTCTTTTTCTTCTTTTTTTTGTAAAATATACATACATATACAATATATAGATATACATATATGTATATCTGTTGTGTTCTGTTGTAGACAATAGAAAATGGCATCAAGTATGCATATTTCCGATTTGTTATATATTTATATATGTATAAGAGATTGGTGTGTTGGTTTTCCTAATTTACAGTTGCTTTTTGCTTTTCTTTTCTTTATGTTAACTAAATTTTGTAAGTAGGAAGTCAAAGCAAAAACACAACTAATGAAGAGATCTCAAGACCCTGTCAATATATGTATATGGCAAGTGTATGGCAATGATATGGTAATTATTATATTACTTTAGTTATTACTTTAAATAATTCATGAATTCGTCGATTACTTTATCTGTGTGTGTGTATATCTGTGTCTGTGTCATTCGAGGAACATAATTACAAATGAGTTGAGAGATAGAGAGAGAGAGAGAGATGGAGTTTAGTTTCGTTTCACTCCAGAGAACATAATTCAACTAAAATTCATACAGATCTATATATATATATATATATATACTTTGTTTATAGCAGCGTAGCGCTCTATCGATGCGAATGCAAGTTACTTTCCACCCATTTGTAGAGCGATGTCTGAGATCTAGCCACCCATTCCACATTGGAGGCAACGCTGCTGAGCGTCATATTGAGCACGGACATGCCCTGTCCACGGCCAAAACGATGCACCAAGGACTTTAGCTGAAAATACATCAAAATAAATATATATACATATAGATTAATTGGGTATTATATACCCTATATATGCGGGATCTTGGCCTACCTCATCGTAATCGAATTTCGTTGCGCCATATTGCGTTATGGCCGATATCACTTTGGCAAAGCTAATGGTGCCCGGTCCCAGACGCTTCTCTAGCTCGTACCATTTGGCCTGCAGGAAGCGGCAGGCCATTGCACCGCCTGTGGGCGTGCCGGCAATGGCCTTGAGCACCTGCACCACCTCCTCGGTGGGCAGCATAGTGACGTGTGAGAGCAAACGATTCTGCAGCCAGGCATCCTTAGTGCGTCCCAAAGCGCGCAGCAACTGCATTCGCTCCACGAACGTCTCCGAGGTGCGCTGCAGCGTGATGAAGCGCTCCCAGCAATGCTGCCAATAGATATACTCGCCGGACAGAATGGAGCCCGTGTAAACCACCTGAAAGGGAGCAGCTTAATTCAGCCAATTCCTGGTTCCATCTCCCACCAACTCACCTCACGCAGATTGGGCGCTATGGCCGAGCCGTTGTAGTACAAATACTGGTTCAACATATTCTTGGCCTTGGTTATGCTATCGATATCCTCCCACAGCACAGACGCTAGCAGTACCTCTGGACGCATTAGCCTAGAAGATTAAAATATTACAGCTGCCATCTATTGAATGGAGAGTGAGTCATCTCACCTGATGGCCACATCGCCCTCATCCACCCAGCCCACCTTCTCCATCACCGTTGACAGTTTCATTTTGATGAACTCGCTGAGCATCAGGAAGCATTCGGAATACTTGAGTATGCGACGCCATTTCTCCAGATGTCGCACAGCCAATGCCATTGGACCGTAGTGCGTCTCACTGGGCAAATATTGGATCATATTCATCGTAATCTCACAGGGCAAGAGATTAGCATGGCACAGAGTAAACGCGTCCGACAGCAGACCCAATCGATCCTATATAAAGGTCTGCTTTAAGTACACTTCTCAGATATTTGCATTACAGACATACCTCACTGGTGAAACGTTTGGGATTATTGGACAGCTCTTCGATGAGACTGGCCCAGTTCTCATCATTGTAGATCACGCGATAATAACCGTTCTGTATGGCATTCACCTTGATCCATTTCACATTCTCTGGCACATTGAAAGTAACTAAAGTTGGAGATAAAGCGTAGGAATGTTTGTTATTAGAGTGGACTTAAGACTGAGCTGAGGGGTTAAGATATAAAGGAAGAGTCAGGGGAAACTATTGAGTCTCAGATCCAGCCTTTTTTTTAACCATTGCCAAACATGTAGTAGTTGAGATAGAGGCAAATGGGTGTTAGGCAAAAGAATGATATTATAGAAGACTTAAGACTAAGTTGAGGAAAAGTCAGGAAAGAAACTGAACTATAGCTTGACTAATTGCACTTAATATATACATATATTTGAGAAGTACATTAATTATTGAGGATAGTCTAACTACCTCTACTATAGAACAATTGAACGGTCTTATGTATATGAAGTAATATATTTCCTCTATCAACTACCTCAGCTCACTGCTCAGGTCTTAACCTCTCTTAAATCTATAGATCATCCCATTCAGTAGCCTATACCTTCGTAAGATCTTCCAGCTAATCCCATCGTAGCCTAAGAGACCCCAAGCTAAACCTTCTCCATTCGCTCTACTCACCATCAACATTCTGCATCCAGAGCGTTTCGCTGGCGTTGTTCATATCCGTGATATACGTCACTGGGAAAATCCACTTGAGATGCGGCGCAGTCTTGTGCTTGTTGGCATGGGTGGGCGGCACAGTGCTGGGCATGTCGGTGGCATTCACTAGCGTCTGGTTGTAGTTGTTGCCATCGTAGGACTCATCGTGTATGGCCAAGAAGTCGGCTGGCTTGAACGGTCGCTGCGATATGGAAATGCTGTTGCCCATTTTGGTGACGGTGAGCAGCGGAAAACCTGGCTGATGTGTCCACAGCGTCATCATGTCCTTGATGTTCTTCGAGCCGTTGGCCTTCTTGGTGCATATGGTCCAGAGATCAGTGGGCTCGGCGGTCTTGAAGCGATTCAGCTTCAGGAAGGTGCCCAGGCAGCCGCGAAAGCGATCCTCGCCAATGGCCGTGTGCAGCATAGAGAAAATGGCGGCCGTCTTCTGGACGAAGAACTCTTCGTTGTTGCCGTCGTGGCGAGTGCCGTTCATGATGCTGTCCCAGCCCTGAATGGCATCGATGTCCAGCGCTGTGGTGGCCATCTTCAGCAGATACATCTCGCGCAGCGGCCAGCTGTCCTGCAGGGGAGCCAGCGCATGGATGCCCAGATACTGAATGAGGCCCTCCCATAGCCAAACGTCCTTGAGCACCTTTCGGGAGGTGATGCCGCCGAAGAACTGACGCACCATAGCCTCCGCAATGCGCAGTGCACTGAACTGATACTGCTCCGTGGTTATGGAATTGGGATCGGTGAGAAATGCGGTCTTCAACGTGACCAGACCCAACGACGAGATCAAATTGCGATCCAGCGAAGGCAACGCAACAAAGTCCACCTTGGTCAGAGGATAGCTGATGTCCAGCCAGGTCTGCAGGTACTCCAGCACATCTCGGGACGTGTGCAGAATGAAGGAGGAGCGCGGCAGCAGGTCTCTCGGCGCATAGAACGTATACGAGGGAGCACGTTTGATGGACGAGCCCGTCGACTGCGACAACGAGGTCAGATTCGAGGGCTTCCCATTGCCATTGATAATCACGGGCAGTGATGTGGTCGTCGTGGTGCTGACATTGTGGAAGGGCGTCAAGTTCACATTCAGCGAGTGAGTCAAGGCAGTAATGTTGCGTACGGGCGGATTTTTGCTCTTCAGTTGCGTGTAGTTGTTCAGTTGAGATGGCTTCTTGCCGCCGCCAGCGCTAGGTGGCGCCACTGTAGTGGGTATATAGGCGGCCGAGGGCTGCAGCGACTCGCGCTGAAAGTCGCTGACCACCCAGGCAACAGCATCAGCCGGCAGTGGAGGCGTTTCAATGAAGTCATCTCTCAACTAGAAATGGGATTTGGATATCAGTGAAGTTATTTGAGACTCACTCGACAACTCACTTACCAGGCCTGTGCCCATGTAGAAGCCCACATCCTCTGTCGTATGCACTATGGAATTGGATAGACCTATGTGGAAGCGATCACGGAAAACGGATACACGGAAGGGCGCACGTACATGCGGCTCGTCGAAGCACGGAAAGGCGCGTCGTGCACCATTCGGTCTAAAGACTGTGGCTGCCAGCAGGCTGTAAAGACTTTGGTATTAGCTAAAAGGCTTAACAGTAAATCAGGGCTGCAAGCTGAACGAAGCGAAGCCAACCCTAAAACACAAACTGCATCTAAAACACAACTGGAAATCGAATTCTTATGTCCTGATCTTAAGGATATTTATTGGGAGGAAGCAGCAAGGCGAGTTCTGTTCTATGGTCTATCCGTCCGAGTGAGCATGAAAATCTCGATTTGGACTATACGAAAACAGAACTAGGAAGTATCCTTACACGCCCTATCCTTACATATCCAATCCAGATCTTAAGGAATTTGGAATATCTATTCTATAAATATATAATTTTCGGAAAAAATACCCTTGTTCCTTATACTTACTTAATTTCTCTTTTATTTATCTATTATAAGAGCTAGAATTTGGTATATTTATACTATAAAACAATACGTTACCCCATGTTCCCAGGATACTTATCGATATAAGTTACCCTCGAGTTTTTACTTGTCTTCTAATTATGCCTTTTCACCCCTCATTTGCATCTCTTTCAGCTTTGCAAGCCCTTAATTACTTAATTTTCATCTCTCACCGATCCCGTCCATTGAAGCTCTCATATTGATCCACATAGAAGCCCTCCGGCTCGGGATTCAGCTTGGAGTACCAGCGCAAGTTTAGCGTATAATTGGATTTCTTTTTGAGCTTCTCTTTGACTTCAATGTAGAATTGCTGACGTGGCGGAAATTCCAGCACCTTGACTATCTTCAGAGCATACCCCTTGGGACCGGGCGTAACCAGCGCCTGTGCACACAAAATGCAATTAGTTAAGACTCTGCTAATTGGATGCAGTTGCAACTCACCTTCTCGGTTACATTCAGATCCTGTATGTGCAGCACAATAAAGTTGGTATCCTTCTCGATGAATAGATCGATAGTCACTTGACCTGGCAAAGTAAATAATTGCATTAGATGAAAATCAAATGAATCGCAAAAGTCGCCCTCACTCTCTCACCTTTCACGTCCAGCGTCGTGAGATTGGGATGTATTGTGACCACATAGCGCATGGGTCGGACGCTGGTGGGCAGCATCTTTTCGAGCCAGGGGAAGGGCTCCCCGTTCGTTGCAATCGGATTGAATGGCTGTGTGTTGTTTTCTTCATCCGTTTCATAGCCAGACGTCGTTTTCGCCGCACAGGAACAGTCTGCAAAGGTCATACACACAAACATAACGTTCAGGTACAATGGTTCACATGGACAGGTGGGTGACAATGGGGTGGGGGAGAATTTTATATATAGTATATGGCTTTGGGGTTTGTGGCTAAGCACATTGATGCTTGTTGTAAATCAACTTCGTATTACACGATTAACAAAGAGAACAAAACTGAAACTAAATAAAAATGTGGAAAGTCTAGGCTGAAGCAGAGAGAAAGAAAGAGGTGAAAATAATAAAACCAAGGAAATAATCCAAATGGTAAATAAATTACACAAAATAAAAGCTAGCATACAAATCGATTCACTAGCGGAGGATATAATGAGTTGGTTTCAAATGGGTTTGCTAGCACATCTAATAGAAAAGGTAAGGTAAACATAAATATAAGAGAGAAAAAACTTCAGTTATAAAAGTAATATTGGAAAACTTATTAAAGCATAAGCAAGATTGATTGAGGACGGCGAAAACATGATTTAGTGTGTTATATGCATATTTAAACGAGCTTTAAATATTATTTTTGTATATTTTTTTATTACCTTTTATTTTATTTATTTTTTTGTAATTAAACTCATAATTAGCTATTTAATATTTTGAAAATATTAATATTTTGAAAATGTTAAATGAGCTTTAAATATTATATTCTTATATATTTGTTAAATTTTATTTTATTTTATTTATTTATTTATTTTTTATTTTATTTTTTGTGTGTATAACTAAAATTTATAGTTAGTTACTGTATTATTTGAAAATATACAAAATCTTTTTTCTAATATTATTTTATGATTATAGCTGATTTTAAATTATATTTATTTATTATTATTATTATTTTATTTATTTTGTTGTTGTTTTTATACCCTGAACCCATTTTCAATGGGAAATCAGGGTATAATGGTTTTGTTGAAATGTATGTAACAGGGAGAAGGAGGCGTGGCAGACCCCACAAAGTATATATATTCTTGATCAGGGTGACGAGCTGAGTTGATTTGGCCCTGTCCGTCTGTCTGTCCGTCTGTCCGTCTGTCCGTATGTATGAACGCGTCGATTTCAGAAGATATAAGAGCTAGAGACTTCAAATTTTTTTTTAAATGTCCGTAATTACAGCGCGCATATCAAGTTTATCATTAAAAATCGATAACTCATCTCAATCTTTTTTTATCGATAAAAAACCTTATCGAAACCCAGTTATAAAATTATATCTTCTACACCTTTATTGCTAGAGTCTCCAAAGTTTTAATGTATGCTTATATGCAATTTATACAATTTCGGTTTTTGTTAAAATTTACCCCCCACCTCTAAATTCACCCCCTCACCCTCACTTTTGTAAAAAGCGTATTTCAAATACTAGAGACTTGTGCTTTGGCAATTACATGCATATTCATGTTATAATCATAATCTAAAAGTTTCATGAAGATCGTACGTCCATAAAAAAAGTTATTAAACAATTAAGTTCTCATAGTAAGCGCACACTGCAGCCCATGCGTGTTTATGCGTGGTTGCTTGTATGTGTATGTGTGTGTATGTGTGTGTGTGTATGCGTTTGTGTCTGTATGCGTGTGTGTGTGTATGTGTGTCTGTATACGTGTGTGTGTATGTATACCTGTGTGTGCGTACGTGCGTGTGTGTGTGTGTGTGTGCGTGTTTTTGTGTAAGCTGAAAGTCGCGAAAAAGTATTGAAATATCTATTGCTCCAAGGGTTCAGGGGATCTCGTAGTCGAGCAGTCTCGACTAGAGCTTTCTTACTTGTTTTTTTTAATTTTTTCATTTTTATTTTTACTTATTAGATATTTTTGTATGTATATACTCTACTATGATACATTTTTATTTATGATAAATCATAACTTCACTATAGCATCTATTTAAGAAAATCAGGGAAAAGACAATATATTCTCTTTCAAAATTTCGTATTGTTGTATTTTTTTTTTTTTTTTTTTTTCTGAAAAACAGAAAAAAATTTTTAAAATGTTTTGTCCACATTTTGTGTGATTTGCAATCCTAATTCTGTCTGATAAACTCTCTACGTTAAATGTATATCATTATGAATCTTATAATTCTTATGCATATGATATAAAAAACTTTAAATTTAATATCTACGTTTATAAATCGAAATAATATCTAATATATAAAAATCGAAATAATATCTAATAGATATGTTCCAAACAACAGTTGTTAAATATAGGTAAAAAATGAGAACAAATATTTAAAATTCTAGAAAAAAATGTATACAATAAATTTTTTAATCAGTAAAAGTTATAAATACTTTAAAAATTCTACACATTTCACGAGCAAACAATGTAAACTTCGTAAAGGTTCCATGACTTTTTTTTTTTTTTTTTTTTGATGAATATAGAGGGGTTTTGAATTGATTTCAAAATTTGAAAACAATTTCTAATGAATCAAATGCACTAGGAAAGAGAACATATAGATAAGGTATTATAGTAGGTACAACAAGTGGATGACAGCAACATGCCGACAGATAGATATACATATATCGGGAATACTATATATGAAGATATATTTGGACTATTTGTTAAGTGTTAATTACCGGTTAAGTAGAAGAAGTGGGTTTTTGGAAAAATTTGTTACTCACATTTTTACCAATCAAACAAGCATTTAAGAGAAGTTTTCATAATTATATAATAATATTTTGTGTATTTTTTTTAAAGATTTTTTTTTTTTTACCAAAGAATACAAAGAAACAACAGTATGAAAAGAAAACGGTAAACAAATTATGTATACATATTTATAAATATATATATTTTATATATAGATATATATTTTGCATATATTGAAGACGTACGGATATTTTAAAGTTGATTAAATATTTGGTATTTTTATTAAGTTGCTCAAAAAAAGGGTTGGCATTTTTAGTACTTTTTTTGCCACTGCTTTAATTAATTAAGTGTTGTATAGAGCTTGCGTGAAACCTGGTTACATTGTCTAGCTGTTTCTCTTTGTAAAGTCACAGACACACACACACACACACATAAGCACTCATCGACCATCACACACCGACACACATGCATGTCTGGCTTGGGTCCGTAATGCAATTAGCCTTCAATGCATTTAGCCCCATTAAGTATGCAACACAAGGTTTATATTTGTACTTTGCATACATTTTGCAACGTAATATGCGGCAAGGGGACTCGATGCATCAATATGGAACTCCTCTCCTGCCCCGACACACACACAAGCAGAGTGAGGAGCCATTCGCCCGGGTCAGATTTTATAATGGTATTTGGTTAGGGCTAATACTATTAGTAAGCATATTACATATAACATGCTGCGACTATGACAAGAGGCAGCGTGTGGCAAGGCTGATGCAGCTGTTCTGCTTTACTTTCTGCTCGATTCTATTCTGGTTGCATCCTTCATTAGCCTAATGCGATTCTATGGTTATACTAAGGAGAGTAATATGTTGTTTGTCGCAGCTGATTAGCTCGCCTAATAATAAAGCGCGGTGTGAAAATACTTTGCCTAATGGGAAGACATGTTTCATTAAAAATAAACAAACTTTAACTTAATTGAGTTTGGATTACGTTTGGAGTTGAAGCAGTTTCAATGGAAAGTGGATAGCTTTTACTGGTCTTATATTAAAGTAGATAGTTAAATAAGGTATAAGCGGGCTTGATATAGGTTGATTCTATAACGGTAAACTACGGTAAAGCTGTCTGAATTTATATTTAGGCAAACTGAAAACATTGTAAAATCCATCTTACATAAAAGATGAAAGAAAAATTTGATAGAGACAAATTTGATATTTTATAAAAGTTTGCAAATCCTCTTTTTGTTATTATTCTATACTGATCTTACTATCTCAGACGTTCTTTCTGGTTGTTATGAATTTTTTAAAGCTTAATTTGCGAAACTTTTTTGTTTTTAATTTTGTATATAGATACAAAATTTTTGTTAATCTGTATTATCAGGCTCAAATACTAAATTTTCGCTGGACGAGCAGTTGATTTTCGGCCTCACAATTATTTGCTGGAATCTAAAATGTTATTCAAAGCTTGTTTCTACGTAGATTCGGATTCGGCAAGATATTTTATAGAAATAATTATCAAATAGTTCACTGCAAGACTACGGAGGCAACTTTTGATTCAAAAGTGTTGTAGAGATATACTATAAAACTCTTTACATATATAATATAATAACAATTATTATGATCATAACAAGTTATAATCAGCGTTTAGTTATTATAGTAAAAACTCATTTAAATTATCTCTCTTCTATCTAGCCGAGTACCTTTACCACTCGCGAAAAAATAATACAATGCGTATTATAAAACATATGAAAAGCTGTTTTCCCTGTTTGCAAACATATCCTGCGAAAAAGGGGGAACAACGAGAGCTTTTGTTCCACTTGTTTGTTGTGGTAATGAAATAAAAAAGTAAAGAAAAAAAAAAAGAGGAAACAAAAGAAAGCAAACATATGCAACCGAAAGGCAAATATAGATGTACAATGGAGCCTACCATTTTGGGGTCCGGCGTAGGCAATGATAATGGCCGTCAGCAGCAGGGATCCAAGGACGATGCCGGCAACGAGAAGGGCGCGACGCTGCGAACAGACGGCGACTCCGGTGCGCGTCTGGCGGCCGCCGCTGGATTCGCCACCTGGTAAATGTAATTAACAAACAGGTAAAAGAGAGTGTGAGAGATTGTTAATAAGAGTGAGAGATACAGGAAGAGGGCAAATAAGGGGACAGTGAGTGAGTGTATGGGTGTGTGCAGTAGTCATATTAAATTATGTCAATATTTGCACACGAAATGTTTGCATTGCGCCCACTGTTTCAAGGGACAAATTGGTTGATTGGCTGAAGAGCTGCGAGAGTCAGTTTAATCATTATCATTATCATTAAAATTGTAGCTCAGAAGTTATTCAATGTGGACATACTTTGTTCACTTATTCATTTGATCAATTTGCGATTCGTTTGAGCACTAACCATAGTTATTGTTAGTTAATAGTTTATAATCCAATTGTTCAGCTGTCAATCGATAGGTTGATTATATCAACTGTTGAAGTTAATGAACTACTGAGCATCGAACGTTTGAATATATTCGAGTACACTGATCAGATTCAATTCTAAAAGTTCTATTTACCTGATAGAAATGCACAATCATCTAAGTCCGGATCATTTGTCATTTCGATGCGCTCGCGCCGCCAAATTTTCGAACCTTTACGACCACCGCCAACGACCGAAATCTTAACGGGGCCGGTATCTCTTTGCTTTCCGGCCAATACGTTAACTTGAATGCGTTGCTAAGACGCCGCGTTCTTCAGTTATATATATATGTATATACAAACTTTATGCTATATTAACACAGGCACTCTTCACTTAGGTTAAAAAAAAATAATAATAATATTAAAAAAAAAAAAAAAATAAATCAGAATATGATGTGCCTTGTCCTTTTATTTTGTTTTGCCTTCAACCAGCCAAGCCACGTGTTCCCCTCATACATATTTTATGTTTTAGCCATGTTTATGAAGTCAACTTTGAATATTCGAAATTCGAATCTGACAGAGCCGAAGAGAGGAAACACTCTCAGCTGCGCAACGAGTTGATAATCAAAGGGACAAATAATCGTAATTTATGCGAACGAACGAAAAAAAAAAAAAAATCTGAGAAAGGTGAACAGTAAAATATCTGAGACGAGTTTTCCACCCGCAGTACTTAGTTGTTTTTGGAGTGAAAAGGCCCTACTAGCATAGCTATGAAAAATGTAACGCAGATAAGTAGATCTACTCTATGTCTCCAATGCATTTGTATATAAATTACAGTTTATAGAATTTATAATAATGGACTTAGTGTTTCTTTATTAAATTGAAAAATTAGTTTTGAATATAATCTTTTATTAGCTTCATATGCTGTCTAGAATTTACTTTGATATTATAAAGTTACTATAGCATAGATATATAGAGTCTATTGAAACTAAAGTTATAAAAGAATATTTCATGTTCGGCGTGTTTTTCTGTATTTCTTCACTTCTTTTTGGGCCAGGCGCCAAAAGTTGCCGCCCTTCCGGTCTCGCCGGCTCACCCCTACCCCTGCCGCTCCCCCCGGACAGTATACCGTCTAGTCATTCGCATCGTCTGAGCCGGCAGCCACGCTCGTAACGTTGTCTGCGTCTGCAGTTTTTTGGATGTTGCTCACAATTTCAATGTCGCATTGAATTAGTGAAAAGCGCTTTCAACGCCCAAAAAGCAACCCCCAAAAAATCTTTGATGCTGGATGTGGGAGTGTATATAGGTGTATTTGTGTGAGTGTGCGTGTATTTGACTCTATAGTCTGCCTTTGAGCAGCACTTGAAGTTCAAGTTGAGCATCCTTAGCGAATTTTATGCGGCTTAGGCCTGGGCAATAATAAAGTAAATATGATACGGTTCATTTTGAGGCAATTTCATTTCAAATTCTAATATAATGAAAATCTATAGTAAACTTATTACTCATTTTTAAATGCAGGCATTTATCAGCTGATAAGATTGCAGAGAATCAATAAACTTTATGGTACGAATTCGCAATATCAAATTTCTTTTAATTGATTAGATTCGAGAAGTCTAGAGGGCTAGCCGTTTAAAACCGTTTAAAATTTTAATTATATATTGATAAGCTTCTTCTTTTGTTTTTGTAATTCTACTGTCTGATATAAAGGAAACTCTCCATAAATTTTCTTCGATGCTAATTCTGACAGTTGCATTCAATAAAACGTTTCAGAAGCTGAATTTCGTATATATATATATATATATATTATTCTAGCAGTCATATAACATATTAATATACTCTTATATATTAACTGAAACAATTATAGTCTCAGCTATAAAATGCAGTAAACACTGTATTGAAACCGGTTTGGTTACTCGCTAGTTAGTTAGGATTGCAGTGCATTGTAATGCCTTGCACTGTCTGTTATATTTGATGGAATTACAAGGTTAACAGCCATCAAACACAATAACAATAATTGTATAAATGCTTAGACGCCTGCTGCATTTGTTTACATTTGCATGCATGTTATTATTATCATGATTTTGTTGTTGCTCGCAACGCACATTGGAAACAAAAGTTTGACACACGCGTCACACGAGTGAATGTGAAGAGTGTGAAAGAGGGAGACCGAGAGAGTGAGAGCGAGAGTGAGAGTGAGAGCGTGCCAGAGCGTCGCAGCTGGAACGCTGAGAGAGTACGCGTGAGAGCGTGCAAGAGAGCGCAACACTTGACTGTGTGGCGCTCGCATTGGAATCTGTGTTTTGAAAATGAAATGTCAAAATGCAAAGCTCAACAGCGCGCATTTCCTCACATGCGTCAATTGGGTATGAGTGTGTGTGTGGGTGTGTGAGTGTGAGTCGGAGAGTATAAGTGAATTTCCTGCTTTGTCTTAGCTTTGATAATGCGGCGTTTTTCTTTAGCGAGAAACGAGCGCGTTTCTGAGTGCTTTCTGAATGCGCGTATATATGTCAATAGTGCGCTTTCCAGTCCAATTCGTTTTTTTTCGCGTTTGCTTTTGCTTTTTCTCTTATTTTATTTATTTTTTTTTTTTTTGCAGCTGGTCCCGTTTTTGTTTGCCTCTTGACTGAATTGGCGAGTGCATTTCCCTACCAAGCGGCAGAGACGACAGCAACTGCGGCACTGGCAGCGGCAGCGGCTATTTCTCTGTTGTTGGCAGTAAAAATTAATTCGGACATTTGAGGCGGACGTCCATGAGCTATATAATGGCTTGAACGTGTGTACATATTTGCTTTGGCTTGCTGTAGTTGTGGCTGGTGGCAAAAGGTCAAAATAGCAACACTTAATCAATGCAAGTGAGGCATTCATTAAGCCAGCACGAATTTATTCATTTGGCTCGATTGGCTTTTCTATTTCTTTATTTGACTATAACATTCTAGCTTTCACTCAATTCATTTGGAGTACCGTTAGATTTCCGTTAGCGAACCGAACTCGTCGTCAGAACTTGGACTAATTAGTAATTAGCTTTAATTAACAAAAAGCCGACAGAAATTGATTTGATGCTTCGATTGCCTTTTGTCAAACTTTTCTACTTTGCTTTGCTTCTTTATTATTTTTACTTTTTTTTTTTTTTGGAAATTTTTATGCTCTTTTCGTTATAGACACGCACAGTGGGTGGGGGGCAGTGTGTAAAGGCAGCACGCGACTCATCTGGGTATAAGTGTGAGTGACTGTTTGTGTGTGTGTGTGTGTGTGTGTGTACGTGCGAGTTTCTATAGGTGAGTGTGTGTGCGTGCGTGTGTGTTTGAGGAGTTTCTTTTTTGATTTTTGTCAACACGAGCTTTCGTTTCGAACGTTTCGTTTGTTTGCTACGCGCTTTCTGATGCGTTTGATTGCGCGTACATTTTCCAACTGGATGCTGCTGTGGCTCGCCGTCGCGTCTCCGGCAACGAAAAGAACTTTTGCAACAACCCCTCTGGTCAGGCAGTCTACGCCCACCCCTCCACGTCCCTCGCGGCTGTGCAGCGCATGTCCATACGCTCTCGCAAGCTCCCACTCTCACTCTCTTTGACGCACACACACACACACACACACAGTCTCTCTCACTGTCGCTGTTTTGCCATTTTTGGCTCTCACCTGCAGAAATGAAAATGAAATTTCTAGTGGGTCCTTTTCGCCGGTCCCTGTTAGCCAACAAGCAACATAAATAGTGGAGTGTTTTGGTGTTGCCAGGCAGATCGGAATCAGAAGCAGGCAGGCTGCAACCCTTAAGCACCACCCACCAGCAGCCTCCCTGCGCCCCAGCTATATCTTTGCTATATATATATATATGTGTGTGTGTGGGTGTGGGTTTGTGTCTGTGTATGTTGTTTCTCCCCAATATGCATTCAGTTACTATGTCTAGTTGTTGTTGCTGTTGCTATCGTTACTGCTGCTTCTTTATCTTACTTTTAGTCAAAGGTTCAATCGGCAAACAGTTCTTGTTGCTGCTTGATTAAGGGTTGGCTTCTGCTTACAGTTATCGCGACCATATACGACACGAGATTTACGAGCTCACGTATTGATGCTGCCTTCATTTTTTATTGCCTACTTTGAGGCGCCTCTAACAAGCAAAACACACTTATTCGCCCCTAATGGGCCAGCAACTTCTTCTGCAAATCATATTGAGAAAATTTGACAAATATTTCCTCGAAATGGATTTGACAATGTCCATATAAAAATTATTATAGTAGTTTATATTGCATTTTATACTGCTATGACAATAGAAAAGAGATGGAAAATCATGAATCTCTTTAAAGCTTAGTTTCCATGAATATTTATTTATAGAATCAAAGGAAAAATGTAAAAAATTAACGATAACGATACGATACTTGATAAAAAAGTCGTAAAGATATTTTATGCTGATATCAGTTTGAATATGTAAAAATGGATATCAATTCAAAAAGAGTAGATATTTATTTAGGTTTTCAGTGAAACTTTAATAAAACTTATATTAAATTATACCTAACATTTTTTGTGGTCAACTTAAATGAGTTTTTGTCTGAACTGCATTAAATTGTGGATCTCCAAATATTTTGAAAATATTTTTAAACATTTGTTTGGGTGAATGGAGATTGTTTATGAAATAAATTGATGGTAGCTGAGAATCGCGCACATAACGATGATCAGAAATATATATAAAAATAACAAATTCAGCAAAGATTTAAAAAAAATCATGGATTGTATTATGAACTTTCTGCTTTATTTGCAGCATCCATCAAAATTACAAAGTATCACATTTTTCTAATCTAAGCAAATCAAAACTCTCAGCATTTGGGCAGCAAATTAAATCTTCAATATGGCAGTTAAATCATTTTCAACTCAATTAATTCACATAAAGCTCCTTTTTTTGGATTCTGCTCTAATTTTATTTGTACGATGAGCCGCAAACAAAGTCGCATCTAACGTCAACCTTTTGCGGTGAGCTCAGAAAAGTTAAGCGTAATCAAAGTGTAAAAAAGTTTTAGAATTGATGAAAACAGTAACAGGTTTTTTTTATTATTTATTATATTTTCATTTTGGGCGCAACGCCAGGTCACGAAAAGTTATTTGACATGAAGTTTGAGGGCGACCCGACTCGAACGTCAAGTTTAACTCAATGAAATCTTTGTCACGTCGCCCTGGCGCCCTGTTCCCCGTCCCAGGCCGCCATAGAATTTAAAGAGGGAAATGCAAATGGCAACACAGGGTGTTCATTAGCAAATTGTCTTTCAGTCTCTACCGCCCAGTCACATGCCGCAAACACTGCGTGGAACTGAAATTGCCAACGAGGCAATTTTTAGCCATCGACTGTGGAAAGTCGTTACTGCGTGCATTTCAATTCCATCCAATTCCTAGGCTTTTTCTTTTCAATTGTAATCGGCTGCAAGCATTTACCACACATTGTTCTGAGGGTTATTTAACGCAATTCTGCGGATGTCACCAAGAGCGTACAGTGGGTCATTTTGAACGGAAAAAATTGATTGATGATTACAATGTTATTTAGCCGAGTGATTGACATACATGGATACATAGAGGATGTTAAGATAACAGATAAATACAATGTTATTTTGAAGAGTGGTTAACAAAGCTATATAGATGATATTATGATGCAAAATGTTAAGCTGTATTGAAAGATTTTTAACATATTCTCAGTTATATGATGATATATATAATGATAATATATTATTCTAAGAGCAATATCTCATATTTGTCAAATAAAAGATAGAACCTTTGTAAACTATAATGCCTTGTATTGGCATTGATGGAAAACCCATGATAATGCCCAATATTACACACTTCTCTGAAACTGTACCGTTTTCAGCTTAGAAAGTGTATTTAAACTCTACTATATTTCTACATATTTTTATCTTTTTTAATTCTTAAGCTCATCATCAACTTAAGCCCATTTTTCAAGTCTCTAACGGGTGCAAATCGATTTCTCTGTTAATCTCAATGTACGCCAAGAATTACCAAACACTGCCCATAGTACAGCGTGTCCAGTATTAAGTATTTGCTGTCGCATGCAAATTTACAGCCCACAAGTTGTGAAGAGCGCACAGATGAATGCCATGTGAGAGTGTGATTGTATGCGAGTGTGTGCCTGTGTGTGTGTGTGTAAGTGTGTGTGTGGGGGACTTCCTATTTCAAGGGCTTTTGGCGCTCAACGCTGTACAGCGGCCACAAGTGTCTGTAATAAAGAGTGGGCTCTGCTCCCCCTCCCCCCTTCCTCTATCCCTTGGTGCCAAATCGAAATGTGGTGGTTAAATAATCGCTGTTTATGAAACAATCAATAAATTTAAGCTGCTGCGATGGCTGTTACTGCGTCATGTGGCCCCACAGGCGTTTATATACAACCACACACATGCAAACACACACAAACACACACAAACACACACAAACACACACAGACACACACAAAGTAAAAACTTGAGAACTTTGCTACTAAGGGTTGAGCTGGTGCTCGGCTCTGAGTCTTGAAACTCTTAATTGCTCGATTAAGTGCTTGTTAATCTCTTCATGACTTTTAGCTAAACGATAGGAAAACAACAAAAGAAATATAAATTGACTAAAAGTCAGCAAATCATTCTTGAATCATTTGATAAACTGCTTGAAATGATATGCGGATGGCTGGCAAATGTTATGAACTTAAGCTTACATTAAGCTTAATTACAGATTAGACTAATAGAGCAATAAATACATAGATAGTAGAAAGCAGATTATAAGGACTGTATAACCAGAAGAAATGCAAATAGTTACAATTGCTATAGGTGCAACAAATTAAAATGAATATTAGGCTCTGTAAGGCTAGATTTTGAAGTAAAATATCCATGAGTTAGCATACTATAAATATAAAGATATCAAAATTTATGTCTATAGTTTTTAGAGTCAAATTTTAATATTATTTAAAATATCAGTGAAGATTGTTCTTAAACTCAAATAAAATATTTTTTCTTTAAATGTTCAAAAGCGTTGATTTTGTTTGTTATAGTGGAAAAATTATGGATTTTTTGGAAAAAAAAAAAGTAATTTACACATGATTGAAGTTTCAGCTCTGAAGCTCTGGTCGTCCTCGAGATCTAAACATTTAAACAGACATACAGACAGCCTTACATCGTTAAATTGTTAGAGATTGTATTACTGATTCAAAATTAATAAAATATGTGCATAATATGCATAACTGTAGCATGATATTATATGTACTTCATTCATCTTTAATATTCCGCCTGACCTTCAGATTCTCTATTAATTGAAGAGAAAATCGATAAATTTTAATATGAGAGTAGTAGCTTCGAGGGTATTAATTTACCAAAGAGCTTTCTGGCAACAAAAGGAAATCTAATAATAATTGCCAGCTGTGCATGAGAGAGCAATCGCTTTTCCGAATATTTTCCGCATGACTACGAAATGCTTTACTTCATTTCATATATTCAATTTACTTCTTTTTTTTAAGAGCATGTATGTGTGCGTCTATATGAGTATGTGTTCCTGTGTGTGTGTGTGAGAGTTTCTCTGCTCAATTTGCGAAATGCTCAATGAGTTAATTAATTGGCAGTTTGTGTTGAAGCAGCTCTCCAAGGTGCAACCGAGAACGGTCCTCAGTGCGTAGCATGCAACAAGACCGCAAACACAAATGGAAAACTAATTGTGCAGAAATTGCAAATGCAAATGAAAAAAAAAGAAAAAACAAAAACAAAATAGAAGAGCAGTACGAATGCCAGCCAGCAAAGGTTTTCAAGTGCTGCGAAAAGTGGGCTACGGTAGCTGCTGTCATTGTTATTTCCTGACTGACGCACAGACGGACGGACAGATGAACAGATAGACGGACAGAGAGACAGAACGGACAGACAAAGTTGGCTTTTGCGCGTTGCATTCGCCACATTTTCCATTTCCCCTAATTACGTAGGCCGCCTTAGGGGGCCGCTCAAGCTGTGCGCATTGTGGCTGCATTGCATTGTGTGTTGGTATGTGTGTATCTGTGTTGGTGTGTTTGTGTATTTGTGTGTGCCATTTGGCAAACAATATTTACTGCAACAATTTGGTTGCATTTGTGGCGCATCGCCTTGCTTTGACTTCCTGCTCGCAATGCTTCAAGTGGCCTGACCTAAAAACACATTTCATCCATTTCTATATGTCTTTACTTTCACTCACACCCATACACACACACACACACATACAGAGAGCATTGTTTCTGTTAGCCCCATTTTCCAGTTTTTATTTCTTCTCCTGTTTTTTCACCCGGGATGCGCAGGAATTCTTTATTTAAGTCAAGTTGCTTCAAGTGTGTGTAGGTGTGTGTGACTGTGTGTGTGTGTGTGAGCCCATTCAGAATGCAATCAACATCAACGCATCCTGCAATTATCAACGTTGGCAGCAGGCGCGACAACCATCGACAGCT